TTCCCCTCCCCCAAATTAGAGCGGAGCGGAAACGGCGGGTTTGACACTCGTTACATTTTTTCATCAATGTTAGGATCAAGGGTAGGGCGATAACGTGATGCATACTTTTAAAAGCCGCGGATCGTGAAAGAACTAGACGCAAACACACCCAAGCTATCCGTTAACACAGTCTGAGAGTAATGATTGAAAACGAGCGTGTTGGTGACTAGTTACGAATACTGGAAACATTTCTTAATCTTCATTATCACTGACAAAGACGGAGGTCAAATTCCTAACACCAGAGACGACTAGATTACTGACAACCCGTCGTGACGCTAGTGCTTTTTGAACTTTTAAGTTTATAGCCATTTCACTTTGGGACTGTCCACATTATTTCTGCACCTTCATTACCGCTGAAAATGACAGTCGAGTTCCTTGCACCAAAGATAACTAGATAACAGATAGCTCATCGTGACGCCAGCGCTTTTTGAACTTGTATATTTATAGTAAATTCCCTTTGCATTTCGACAATTTTCTCCTTTCCTTCGTCGAGAACGTTAAAACCTTTGGGGGGGGCGTTTTTTTTAAATATTTTATACCATTGTATGTTGCTGCTCAATGAAAGAAGTCCTGTTTCCGTCCCCGTCCTATACTCCGTCTCATCCTACGATGGACTGAGGACCAAAGCCACGGTCCGCCAGGTCCAATCGCGTTTCACGCTTAACTATGTCATGATTAACATTGATTAGGGGTGGACGAATAATGGTCCGAATCCAAAGCGCTGCATCATTTTTATAGATTCGACACTGCAAAGAGCCTCTATGTAATGGCTTTCTCTGGAAAGTAAAACTGATAAGTCACTCAGTGCTATTTGATTCGAACCACTGTCCGCCCATCCCCATCAGTGACCCCAGACACGGGCACCGATGGTGCACCGAAGCGCAATACCACGCAATTTCTAAATAACTCGTGATTGGATCTGGCGGTCCGTAGATTTTGCCTTTAGTCCATCGTAGGGTGAGACGAAGTATAGATGTTTCATCCTTTCAAGTCTAGTCTTAGAGAGATACACGAGTCCATTGAAGGGACCTACCTTCAGTACGGCGAAATAGAGAAAAAAAAAAAAAAAAAGACTATCCGCACCTCTATGGAGCACATCGTTTCCGTACCGAACGGGTACCCTAAAACAAAAAGAAAGTCCGTAAGGCCGAGGATCACAAGGACCCGCAGGCGAAAATGGGAGGAGGGTGGACCACTAAGGGCGGGTTGCACCAACGTCTCTTACCTTAACCCAAAGCGGCTCTTTCTTAAAGGACACATGCAAAGGAAAAAAACATTTTTTTTAAACGGCTTAGGTGGAAAAAGGACACCATAAAACGATTTTACAACGAAGAAAAAAAATTTTTACAGCTATATTTACGGCGCAAAACGAATTTGTAGTTGGCGCCCGCGGGCACCGCGTAAAAGTGGTCTGTATTTATCGCGTGACTGGTCTTTATTTATCACGTGGTGCTTGCGCTCTTTCGAAAGCTTCCTATGGCCTCTAAAAGTAACTTATTCATCTTTGTTTGAAGTATAACAAAAAACCAAGACGAATAAGTAACTTTTAAAGCCCAAAGGAAACTCCTGAAAAAGCGCAAGCAGACGTGATAGACCTGTGCGCCGGTCAGACGACGGCGGCGGCGCCCCGAAGCAGACGAACTTGTGCGGCGGCGGCGACGGCGGCGTGGAGAAACGCGTTGAAGCGGCGTTCGCACAACGCTCAGCGTGCGGCGGCGACGCAGAGCGGCGGCGCGCGGGCCTACCACGTGACCAGCGGCGGCTCCCGCGAGCGCCAACTACAAATTCGTATAGCGCCGTAAATATAGCTCTAAAAATTTTGTTTCTTCGTTGTAAAATCGTTTTATGACAACCTTTTTCCATCTAAGCTGTCTAAAAAAAATGTTTTTTTCCTTTGCATGTGTCCTTTAATGCTAAACCGAGCTCGGATAAGCACGGGTTTAAATTTCGGTTGCACCAACGTAAACCCGGCTTTACAGACGCGCCCTTAGCTAAACGCTGGATTTGCGTAGGGAATGTAGGGACAAACAGAGCGAACTAGGGAACGCTCAGAGGGACGAATACGATTGGCGGAGAGGAATCACGTGATGTAAACAAAAACAAAAAAAACTGCCGTAGTAGTCGTCGTCGGCGTCTGCTTTCGCTGTATTTCTTCGGTGAGTAACAAATTAAAGGTCTGCAAATTCAATCATTTTTTAGCTTAACCTTCAATAACAGAAGTCAAGGCTTTAAATAAACACGAATGCTCTTTACATCTGTGATTGTGTGTTTAATATCGGTTGATAACAGGATATTTTGACAGTGGCAGTAGTTTTCGTGCTCACATTTTGAGGTGAAGGAGCCATCGGGGGCCCCAAATCTCACCGAACGCGAGAAGGACACTCTACTCGCTACATCGCTGAAGACAAAACATCATCGAGAATAAGTAGGCAGGTAAGATGACTACTAAAATCAAGTCATGCCTGAGACCGATGAAGTTCAAAACGGTGACGAACTCGCCACGGCAGCTGCGAAAATGCCCGGAAATCGTCGAATAGAAGTCGTCGAGAGGTCAGGTCACGAGACCTTGCATCGACGGTACTCGTTGCTATCAGCAAGGTGACAGAACTGCACTGTACCGTCGCTGAACATCCGCTGCAGCCTCAAACGGACTTCAATTTCACACTGTCAAGTTCAGAAAAAAAAAAAAAAACATCCACTAGTACATCACATCGTGCCGATAAGAACGGTCGTCTCTTCGCATCACCTGCCCCAGCCTGCCCCGATACAGCAATAAACGAATCTAGCATAGTAGTCGTTACGATTTGTCGTCGCCATGAAAGAAAGATATAAAGCAAAATATTCCTAAAAAATCGCTATCACCGAAAAAGTTAAGGTTATGGAACCATACAGTTTTCTGAAGCCAAGACTCTACTCGCGAGATTAGGAAAATTCACTGAAGGTTGTCTCAAAACTCAGAAAACGAAAGAAATTGAATTTTCGCTGTTTTATTTCTTAAAAGCGTCGCAATCTAATGCGAACGGCAGAGGTGTCGACAATCAGCTGATCGCCGACATCATGTACTGCCACTATTCAACGCGCTGATCGAATTGAAGGATACGCAAAATGAAGGATACGCGCTGCAAGTGTAAATAAACAAGGTGGTAAATAACAATACGTTACAGTTATGCGAAAATTAGTAAGTACATACGAATAAGCTCGTTGACAGAACCAACGGGAAGAGAGACCTGAGCCCCACAGCTTCGTACGTATCTCGGTTAAGGCTAACTAGAGTGCCTTCATGTGCGCTTCGCATAGCAAAGCGCACATGAAGGCTCCCTTGGGCTAACACGCCCTGAGAGTGGAGAGCCAACTTAAAAACAGGGGTCGATAAACACTTCACGCGACAATATTTTGCATCATTGTCACAATCGAAGGTCATTCTGTCGAGACTTTCAAGCTGATGTAGCCTAAAACACTTTGCACAACCAATTTCGTCCACCGCGTCCACGGCGACAAACCAGCCGCCACGTTTAAGTCCAGGATTAAGAAACAACCAAAAGCAAAGCGCCCATTGTTGAGCGCTCAAGTTAAGCGTAGTTTAGTGCTACGTTTAGAGATAAGCGATTTTGGTGCAACCGAACGAAACCGAAACTAAGCTTAGGTTCCCGGCTAAGCTCCGCTTTGCGCTAAGCGGTGTTGGTGCAACCGACCCTAAGAGTTACAAAGCACCAAAAGCAGTTAATTTACAATTTAAATTACTACAGCACGAGAAAAAGTAAAAGTTACAACCACGCTTTTACTTTTACGGAGTAAAGTATTTTTCCTTGAGCGATTTTTTTTACACGCGGCGCTGACGTCACACGTTTGCGGTGGCGCTGCTATAGGCAGGGCGCATGCGCAGACGGTCCACTTGATGCGAATCTGGTTTCGGCGCAGACGCAGCGCCTACACCTCGTGCGGAAACTGCGCGTTTGCGCCCCCCCCCCCCCCCCCCCCCCCCCTTCCGCTCGTGAGGGCTTGTTTGGAAACAGCGCGTTGGCCTATGGTTTGTGGCATTCGTTCAAGCATGAATATCGCAGAGTTTTAGATCTCGTGTTTTGTGCCTTCGTTTAACCAACTTGAAAAATGACCCGATAGAAAGCGATGTAGAGCCCAGCTTGACCGCGGTGTGAAATACGATTTGGTAGCGAAATAATTCCGGAAATTGACTATGTCGTCCCACATCCGCGTTGAGAGTACAGCTACAAGATATGCATAACAATAGCAAAATCCCTAACGCGCTCTCCTCCCACCCCCTTTTTTTTTTTTTTTCAAGAAATAAAGAAAGAAAAGTAGTTCGATTACAATGAATCTGAGCCGGAGGCAATGATTTACAATCAGAAAACGTTTAGAGAGTATTAAAACTAAAGTAAATCGCCCGCTAAAAGCACAACAGACCGAAGACTGAGGAGAAATCTCCAAGATGGAAAGGAATTATGTAAGGACAGATGATACTTCCACAAAAAATAAAACACAATTCGTGCCTGGTGGGCGGCTGAAAAAGAGAACGCACGGTCCAGGTTTCGATTCCTCGACTGCTCCAACGACACGCGGAGTCCTCGACCAATACCAGCTAGCAGACGAGCCATGCGCATGACATCACCGTTGCTGGATCCCCCCCGACCCACCCCAAGTAGAAAACGCGCTGTAGCTCGACGAGACACACCGCAAAGCGGTAGACGCGTCCGTCTTCACGTCGCCGAGTGCTAGCGTCACGACCCTTGTGAGACACTGAAAGGACGTGCATGCGGCGATACTGACGCAAGCTAGGTGGCGCTGCGTGGATTCAGCGGTAATGACGTCTGGGGAGGAAGTGGAAGGCCCGTGGCCTTGTCTTCTAGCTGGTAATTGGCACGACCTACTGCGGCCATCGGCCACTATTTATTATATGCCCCGTGGCACGAAGTTGGGCGCTTGGCTGGGAGCGCGGCTGCACTCACTCGGATCCTGTCCTGGAAGCCGCAGGAGCGGTGGACGTCGTCCCGGGGTCCGTAGCGGTCGGCCTCGGTCTCGAGCACGTCCAGCGTGGCCTCGGAATCGGCCAGCCAGACGAGGAAGCGGTCCAGGGCCTTCTCCATCTGCTGCAGGGAGCTCAGCGCGCTCTGCAGCGCCTGGCCGCGGCTCTGCACGCTGCGAGGGGCGGACGAGCGCGTCAAATCTCGCTGGCATGCATGCGCTCTAATCTACAGCATGCAAGCTAACACTACTTAGACGGCCCGCAAAAGTTGGTATCTCAACGTATCGCGTTGCAATTTACTACAGAGGTGAAAGCAGGGGGAGAAAGGTTACAGTTATAAAACAAAAAAAAAAAAAAAATTAACTTACGTTGTAAATAAACTTACGTCGTAGAGACCAGTGCTGCCGACAGATGGCGTGCGAATCGGCCGGCGCTCACATTTAAATATTCTAAGCTTAAATGGTAAAACAAAATGGCTAGGTGGCGTAAGCTACCGCCCGATCCAAAGGGCTCAGCCGTATTCATCCATCCATCCATCCATCCATCCATCCAGCTCTTTCGACGCGGAGTACCCTATATCTGTCGGAAGCACTTCTCTCTACGCGTGCGTCGTCTGCGAAGTGGCAGCACAGATTGCCAAGAACAGTTTTTTTTTTTCTCCTTTTAAGGAAGGTAAATTTATTCCTTGGTTTTTCTTTTTTCACAGTAAACTGCCACTACCCGCTTGCACCACTGTAGCAAATTACAGGGTTGAGACACCGCTTTTTGCGGGCCAACTAAAGTGCCCCAGAAGCGTTAGTTTTCATGCTGTATAACTTGTCGAAGGCACGGAGTAATCGTTTTCGCGTTCATAAACCGTCAGTTTGGTACTTTAGCCACAAGTTCCAGGGGGGGGGGGGGGGGGGGGGGGAGAAAAAAATTCAGCCGCTGAATAGCAAAAACAGAAAAAATAAGGAAAAAAAAAACGCGCTTTTCGTGTAAGGCTCGTCAAAATATTGGGCGCTGGAGAAAATCAGCCATCTGCGTTAAGCCCATATTTCGAACAGTTTTTGCTCACGTTGCACCCCTTTAATTTGCGGAAGGAGACGGCGGTGTGGCGAGACCAGGATCGTAGTTGAGCTCTTGTTCTTTTCAATGGGCGGAACGTGAACAGAACAAACATTTCAAAATAAACGCATATGGCTTTTTTTCTCGGGCGTTTAATACTTTGACGAGACTTACACGAAAAGTATGTTTTTGAGTAGCAATATGGGTAAAGTTTTTTGTGCTGCAACCTGGGGCTAAACTATCCATTTTCCCATAAACCGAGGGTGCGAAACAATTTTGGCCGAAGTTTCGTTTTAAGCGCGGACGGAACTTTCTACGGCATCTTAAAAGAAGGGAAACGTGCGCGCCAATAGCTTCGACATCGTTCTAATCCCGCTGTCAAAGACAGCTGTCCGCCAAGTGTACACCGGGGCCGTGTTCCAAAATTTACTTGGTCTTACTCCAGGGTAAGGGTTTTGTACCCTTGGCGTTCTAAAACCTACCCGCGTCCAGCGTTTTTCAGTCTGTTAGGTCACGTGATACGATCCGCCGGAGTAACTCGGATCCATTTGGGCAAGATTTGGAACACAGCCCGGGTGTACTCGAGCGCAATTGACCTTTTTCAGAGTTTGGCCATGATCGTGGCGCGCCCTCGCGGGAATCGCTCGAAACACTTTTGGTGGCTCCGGGAACGTTTCTCCGTCGTCCGCGCCAGGCCTGGCTTGTCTCCCGGTCCATGTGTTTGCGTGTGTTCTCTGGTGGTGTTGTTCCGTCCTTCACCAATCTGAACGCGTCTTTCTGTCGTCGCTTCGCGTGCATATTTTCTTCGAAATGGCTGAAAGCGACCTGAAGGATTAACAAAAGTCAATGTCTAGGATACAGAGGACCTCGTTCGTTTTTATACCTTCAGGGATGGATAGACCGCCGACGCCGCATCGGTTCTTACCATCGACTCAGAGTCACTTCATCGTCACTTCGGTGTCGCGTCTTGCAAGCAACTAAAAAAGGGGTCTGGTTTCAAAGCAGAGTCGCAGAGTGTTATGTAAGGAAAGTAATGGTAACCAGCTTGGATACCGACCCAACCATCCACCTTGTGCGGAGTTTGTGAGCTCCGTTTACGAGGCCCGGCCACTACAAACAGCTGATTTTACTCTCCTTGATCGCTTAAGTTATTCAAGCTTATCGCGTCCGTCACTTCGCCGTCCTAAATACCGCGCGAGGGCACGGGACATTGCCGTATTCGGGAATGTGTAAACAAACTCGGACGGTGCGAAATCCGGGCCGTCTTGATATCGCGAAGGATTGCCGGCACCGTCAAAAAGTAAGGAACGGTATGTTACAAACAATCCATCTTTCAATTCGGCACGTTTACGAACCTTCGACAAAGTGGGCCCAGCAAACAGGGGGTTTACGGTTGGTTGCCAAGAAATTTCATGAAGAGTCTGTCACCGTAAGGCTTAAATTCGTTTCGCTCGCTTTAAATGTTTTGTCACTTTTTTTTTTTTTTTTTTTTGACGTGGCAAGACGCGAGTGTGTATAGCGCACGCCTGAAGAACGGAAAGCGTTATGCTGTTATTTTTTAATTGAGTACCGGGTACGGCATGATTACGTCGCACAACCTCGTTTGCACGCTTACTATTAACAAAAAATGGTCTGAGTGCAGGCGAGCTCGTGTAAGTTTAACATGATGGAAAACTTGATATATAAATACATGAAAGCTTGATGGAACAACGAGAACAGGGACGGAAAGAGTACTTCTTTCAAAAAGTTTTGTATCCGTCCCCGTCCTTGATGTTTTATCATTTCATGTATTCGTATCTATTCACCAACACGCTCATTTTCAATTATTAAACCTGAGACTGAAATAGGAAAAGGAAAACGCAAAGGTAAAACGGGCAACGTCTCAAGAGACGTTGCCTGTTCTTTTTCTGTATCCTTTTGCGTTTTCCTTTTCCTACCCCAATTTCAGGTATACCATCATGTTCACATTTACTGTATTTTAGTTAAAAGCAGAATGTCGCGCCGTCACATTGATGATCCAGCCACCTGACACGGGGGACTCTCGTCATAGGCTTTTGAAAGCAGGGAAAGCGGGGTGTTTGACATCGGGTGCTTTCGTGCACCACCCGCCAAAGGCTACAAGAACTTTATAAAATTTGGCGTTTTAACAATGTTCCCTTCTATTTGTGCAACCTTCTGCTGCGCGGTGGTTGCACAAAGCACTGCCTAAGCGACCGATCCGGCGAGAGAGCCACCAAAAATGGCGCCTTTCCCTTTCCTCTCCTCTCTCAGAGTCGGCGCATGCGCCCAGCGATCTCTGAAAAAGGTCAATTGACGACGCGTGAGCGATCGAGAGCGTCACAGTGGTCGGCCTGCGACGATTGGCCGAATGTTGACTGGCGTCAGCGAAGTATGCCCCGTCGACGGAAATAAGAGTTAATGAAATAACCTCAATTTTAAAGGTGTTGGCAGAGTTTCTTTGAGAGCGCGACGATTTCAAGCTTCCACCGTGCTCATTACAAACACCATCGAACCTGTTGTTCGCAAGGTAATGACGACACAAGAGGGAACCCTAAGAGGGCCCAACCAAAACATCTCGCCGCCCATTCGGGCGTTAAAAGAGTCGCATAAATAAACCAATGAACCGGGAATGCAATTAAACTTTTCACAAAGATTGCCTTTAGGTGGTCTATTTATCGTACTCAAATTTCGCAAATGTAGGTTGTTGGAAAAAAAATTAAAGCAAACAAAAACTTGGCATGTCCTATGAAATGAGAGGAAAAGGAAACAGACTGCCGAGTTACACGCTCCTTTTCACATATGATATCGTACCACTCCAGCTTGCTCGGATCTACTAGATCTACCTTGCGACGTGTTCATCAAGTTTTGGCGCCGTATGGTGAAATATGTGAGTAGCAACGCCATCGCGACGGTTTGCTTCTGTTTTCCTCCCGCGCATAAATAAGAGATATCTATATATTAAACATATATATATATATATATTTTTTTTCTCTAGAAATATATACTTACAAAATTTGAGTATAATAAATGCACTATAGCTGAATGCTTCATTGTGAAAAGATTAATTGCACTCAATTTATTGCCTTCTATATACAAATTCAAATTTACAGCGCTCGGAAGCATAACTGCAGGACACGTAGAAAGCGGCGCGCCCCGAGAATTTCACGAGCTATACAATCGAAAAGCATATCGGTTTATCCAATCCGCACAGTCATCCGAATATCGACTAGACTTTCTTTCTCCGCGAAAGAGCAAACGCCGCGCTCTCACTTGAGGCTGAGGTCAGCGAAGCGCTGGTTGATGTTCTCCACGGCCGCCACCAGCCTAGCGGAGTCCTCCTGCATGGGCACGGTCATGGCGTTGGCGCGGGGCTCCGAGGCGGCCTTGTGAGCCAGCCGAGTCACAGAGTCCACGGCAGCCTTCCATTTGCCCAACTCCGCGTTCAGAAGCTGCGACGCAGAAAAAAAGAAAACATATTATTGCGGACAAGTTGAGGTGAAACACTCCTTCGTGCCAAGATTGAAGAAAGAATAAACATGCGAGACGAAGACGACGTAACGTCTTTGCAAGATGTGATTGTGTCGTCTTCGTCTTACATGTTTATTAGGGAGTTTTAGATTAGCGCACGCTAAAGCTTTGCCTACGCAAAGAATAGCGTCGTCGCCACTGCGTATGCGCCGAACGCTAACCACGTTTAGCGCTTTGCGTGCGCTATTTTTCGGAAATTGCGTGCGTACGCAAAGAATCTTTGTGTTCCTCGAAGGAGGATTCGTGATGAGGAGTTGGCTAAAGCCAAGACGACCACAGTTAAAATTTCAGTTCCCGGGACCATGTCGGCGGCATCCTCGCCACTACGATTTTCAATACGGGACGACATTGCACTCGGTTTGGAAAACCCAGTAAGGTGGGCAACGATCAGCGGCAACTTGATGGTTGTGACGCCCGAACATTTCTCGGCGAAGGTACGGTGTGCGAAGGTCAGTACACGAGACGCCTCTTGCCGAGGCGACGCAGGCGAACACGACCGGTCGACCGCTCGCCTTGCATTCTCATGTTTAAACAACTCTAAAATGTTACTCTGGCCCAAAAAGCTTGTTTTTTTGTTTTCACAAGTTACAGCACTTCGTGTGTGAAATAAAAATGGCGGCTGTATTTGGTGGCGTTACAAGCGCAAAATGCCTGGGCTTCTGCGTCGCGACGGAGAAATGATATTCTAAAACTGTCTTGCGTAGCGTGCGCTAACAATAAGCTAAATTTCGCGCTAGCGTGCACCAAAAATTGCGTACTTTATTCCAAAACTCCAAATTATTTATTCTATCTTCACCCGCACCAACACGCTCTTCGTCTATTAATTAGTCCTCCGTACTTCTTCGGCGTGTACCTGCCACTATTTGAGAGATCTATAGGTGGTCCTAGAGCCACTAAAGGAGCTACGCTTAGAGTATCGGCACTATGTTCCCCGGTATTGCTGTGGGCGCCGCCATCTTCGGGCTTAGTGCAGAGCAGACGCAACTTCCGATCGTCACGATTCGAAAGTGCGACTTCCTCGGCATCAGATTCGGGGTTAGGAAGCTCATGTCATATTGCTTCGCTCTGTCGCGAACTGTTTAAACCTTTGTGGAGGACGGAAAAGCGTTTTCTGTGATTTCAGAAAAAGCTTCCGATAATTGGCACCCACGATTTTAAGCCCCAAGATGGGTAAGTGTCGTTACTCTGAAGCGTAGCTTATTTAGTAACTCATGGTCCAAACAAGGAATGTCACGCGAATCGTTCGAGGTCCCACACTTCGGGCTATTTGACAAATTAAAAGATGGTAAAGTTTGTGGGGACCGCGGACGAAGAAAAATAACGGATAGGGTGTTTCAGTTCATACTGCCTGCGGGAATACACTAAGCGACACTGTTGGCGCGAACTCGACATCCGCGCTTTTCTGCCTCTTACTTCGGAAGGGTATTGGCGGATAAGTGACCGAATGATACCGTTATTGGGCGGTATATACGACAGAAGACAGATCTGACGCTGCTCACAGCGATCCTGGCAAATGCATAGCGGCGGAAATGGATCTGAAATGTTGGTTCTGTTGTCTTTTTCCTTCCCCGCAGTCGGCCGGTCGGCAATAACTCGAATGGCTCGTTCAGACGTGCGGGTCCGCAGGGGAATCCGCGGAGAAATTGACGCCGGGCGAGGGAGTCCCTTCGCCGGCGACGGAATATTCGACCGAGGGAGCAATCGGTCCGGGACCGATTTTTCCCGCGAAAAAAAGCTTTCCACGCCGCCGCAGCCGATGAGAACCCAAGGAGGGAATGGCGTTTGTCGGCGTCACATCCTGGCCGAGTTGCCAGAGTTGTTGGGGTTGCGCCGCCGGAGTTGTCGGAGTTCCCAATTTGTGCAAATGGCGCCGTCTCGCCGGTATCGTTGTATCGGCAGGAATGCTCATCGAGACTGAATTATTCGACCCTGTTCGACAAGAGGCAGCATCTGAGCAACGAAGACAGTGCTCACAAAGAAGATCTATGGAATACAATTGGCGTGAGTGCTACGTACACACGTTGTCTCCGCTTCCTCGTTAATTTATTATTGCCTTCTCGTATCGCCGAGAGAACGTTCGGCGTTTTCTTCGCACTACGGGTTGGCGTTAGCTGCGAGAGGAAGCCTGCAAGAGCCGCTTTTCGAACGTCGCTCGTGTCAGGGGCAGTCAGCTCTGGTATCCGCGAGCGACCGGAGCCTAGTGTGGCAAGAGATGTGAACGGCGCGGTTTTTTTACGCTCAGTAAATTCGCTCGGCGGCAAGAGAGTTTTCCGCAAGTGTGAACGGAACATAACAGCCACGAGATAGGACGTCGCGACGACAGCGACGCTTGCTTTCCCTCGCATCTTTCGGCGGCGGCCTACCGACCGCGATTCCTGCGACGTTTCTGCTGCCCTTCTTCGGACCCTCCGAGGCGTGAAAGATACAGGGCGGTTTCACAAAACGCTTCTTCACACCCGCCAGGCAGCGCTCTGCCATGTTGATGAGGAAGCGTCCGCCACTTTCCACTTCGGTTTGCACGCCGACGATTAGGTAATGGCGTCGTTCTTACTGTTGGTGAAACGCACAAGCAAGGAGAGTCGCTCCATCTACGACAGAACTCAATTATGCTTACTTCGCTTCTTTTTCTCCTTCTTTTATTTCGAGGTTTTAAATTAAAAAAAAAAAATCATGCGTAAACATAGAGTAAGCCTACACCCTTTTACGTCTCCGTCTACTTTGGTAGGCTCAGGGTGTGTTCAGATAAGGACGGTAATAAGGGTGCATGCCTTTTTTTCAATTTCATTTTTTAATGAGGTAGAAAAACATGAGTTCAAGCAAAGCAATGTACCTTAGGCTTGCAAAAAAAACTTCCTCGATTTTATATATATATGAAAAAAAATCGCGTCTGAGAGGAGGTGCAACAACCGTATTTTTCCAATTTCGCGCGGCTGCAACTAAAACATGAATAATATAACTTTCTACAGCGTAGATATTTTATGTATGAAGCACGACCGGTCTACATAAAGTAGTTAGGTTTATTTTATTCAGGTTTATATTTCAAGTAAGATATAATGGCAAACTTGGCTTCCTGCAAAATTCTTTCATATTTAGGCATTTTTCGGCAATTTTTTTAACGTATCTTAGAATTATGATTTTAAGCTGGCGCTCTTTGTACATGGTACTTCATTCTTTGTTTACTTTTGCCAAAAATATTAGCGCTGAACTAATGTAAATGGTTTTATTTATTATTATTTTTTCCATTGCGCTCGGGAAGTTTTTTTTTTAATATCGCAAAAGACAAAATCGCGCAAACTCTAAGCGAGAATTAAAGAAAAATCATCCTCAATTTTCTTTAATTTTCTCTCGATGAATCTTTGAAATTCGGTAATTATACATTCGCAGAAACATGTTGCATTTCAATGTTCAGAATTGCGGAAAAAGATACGACTAGTGATGCAGAAGGACCGTGTCCACGGTGGCCTTACTTGGTGGCCATATTTGGTCGAATGTGTGGGTACGACGGAGCATATACAGGGTGTTTTTTTTTTATTGTTACACATTTGTTTAAAAAAAAAAACAAAAAAAAAACGTGAAAGCTACAATAATGCGGTTTGTGCAGGTGGGCTATACGGCGAGGCGGACATTATGTGGGTGGCTAATCTTTGCGGTAAGTCGGCTAATTAATTAAAATTCGTAAATTAACTTTTTAATTACTTAAAATAAACATATGGTTTCAATTAGAAAATTGCTGAGCATCATCGAAAACCCCTAAATCAACTATTTTTAGCAGGATATAACGCCAGGGCAGCATTTTACGGCGTTCTGTAGAAACGCTGTATTTGGACGCATTTCTAGATTTCGGTTTCTTATCGGAGCGCATCTACGCGCCCGCGATCCTGCTCCCCGGTGGTCGCGACGCGAAGCCACCTCCTCGCCTCCCTCGTAGAATGGAGGGAAGTAGGGCGCACGTGTGTTGCGCGTCTCAAGGTCCATACGCACATTCGCGTTTGAACGCGTTTGTGTGCGTTGCGGAGTCCTTGCGGCCAGGCGCGGTCGCTTGCGGAGCGACGCGCGCCTTCCCGCAACGCTCGGTAGCGCGACGCAAGCGAGTAGAGACTCGCTCAACTTTCCCAAGCGTTGCAGTGCGTTCGGGTGCGTTCGACCAATCGGAAGCCGAAAGAGGAGAGGGGGTGACGTGTTCGCTCGCCCCACCCGGCCGACTCGGCGAGACGGATCCGGTTCGCCGGTCGCAGTGCTTGCTTTTTCTTTTTGGGGAGCGGTGGGGACTGTATTTTCCAAGGCTGCGATGGTTCAAGCTTGACAAAACGTCGGGGAAGCCGGCGAGATTCTCCCAAGATCGAACACTTCGAAGCTGTCGCGGTGCACCGCCATGTTGCCTTGGATTTCGCTTCCTATTGGTGAGCCACTAGCGACGATAGCGCGTTCTTATTGGCTCTTGACTGCGGTTGACTGCGTGTCAACGCAACTGTGCGTACAAGTTTGGCGCAAGCGGTCTTCGCAACGCAACGCGCCCGCTTGCCGCTACGGAACGCACCGCGCTCAAACGCGAATGTGCGTATGGGCCTTCAGCCACTGGGGAGCAGGACCGCGGGCGCGGTGATGCGCTCCGATAAGAAACCGAAATCTAGAAACGCGTCCAAATGGACCGTTTTTACAGAACGCTGTAATATGCTTCACCGACGTTATATCTTTCCAAAAATAGTTGATTTAGTGGTTTTCAATGATGCTCTACAAGTTTCTAATTGAAATCATATGTCTATTTCCACTAATTAAAAAGTTAATTCACGAATTTTAATTAATTAGCCGACTTATCGGAAAGATTAGCCACCCACATAATGTCCGCCTGGCCGTATAACCCATCTGCACAAACCGCAGTAGTGTAGCTTTCACGTTTTTTTAACAAATGTGTAAGAATAAA